AAGAGTGAGAGCTTACGATTAAGACGGATTCCTTTTTCAAAGACATTTAAATGCAATGTTTTAGAAAGGCAGCAATCTGGATTTTGCACACTTTCTTACCCGCTTCCTTCAAGATATTGCTGGTATACTCTGGCTCTGCAAGCAGAAATTGAGTCCAAATTCCAGCACTGCCATTTAGTAGTTGTCTGACTTTGGGCAAGTTACTAAACCTCCTTGGAACTCATTTTTCTCACCTACAAGATGGGGATGATAATAATCCTAGTCTTTCTTCAGAAGATTAAGTGAGATAATGAACAGAAGTCTCAATGCCTAGTGGTTATTGTTCCTTTTATCATTCATTATTGCAAAAAAAGCAAAAAGGGTATTTCGTTTTAAGTGGATTGTCTTATTTTCCTTAGCTGGCCCCATGAAATGGAACGCAGGGCTTCTAATAAAACATCCTGACCATAATGAGATGAAGTTACAGGGTAAAGAACTATGCACTTCAGAATAATGGACAAGAACATAACAAAAAATTCCAAAAAGTTCCCGGTACTGCTGGAGTCTAAAAGAGCTAATTTAATGTTAAAGTTGAAAAATTCTACATGTTGACATGTATTCACATAAGAGTGTAAGAAAAAGCTTCTGAGTGAAAAAAAAATCCTATCATGATTTCAACAACGTAATTCAAAAGAGGAAATTTGACACTCATCAATGTCTTGGTGACATATATGCACAAAACAAGCCTCACACAGAACCCGTTTCCCTTTTTTACATTATATGCTTCATTAATTGCACTCCAATGATCGATCCCACTGTGTCATGGTGGTGATAGCGAGGTTCCCATCAATGAAAAGTCTCTTTTAATTTCCTCTGTTCTTTATCAACAGTGAACAAGAATTGGCCTACCATGAAAATTTGAGATTGTCACTCCAGAGACTGCAGGTTAAGAAAATTTATTACAGCCCTCGAGCTTCCTTCAGTCAAGTTAGTATGGTGGAGAGGAAAGATTTGGGCACTGGTATAAGGCAGATTTGTGTTCAAATCACAGTTTTGCTGCTGATGGTTAAGCAAGCAGATGTCAGGCCTGAGGGTTCAGGTCCTGGACGTGGGCATGTGGATGCCACTATGGCTCAGTATTGCTGAGAGAATTAAAGTGTATACTGTGTGCTGAGTGACCTCTCCATAGCAGATGCTTAATACATGGTCACTATTAATAGTAAGCAGGGTAATTACAACGACTACATGAAAGGTAAGTAATCTCTCACAGCATCAGTTCTCCATCTTGCCCTTGGTGCTAAGAAACTAACCAAGAGACACTCTGTTGGTATTGAAAGACCTTTTTACTGAAGACAGTATGTGTAACATTTTATTCCTATACTATATCTGGAGATGGGCTAATGTGGACTGGCTTTTAGCTGCACAGTGGAGTACTTCTATGTTCCTTAAACCTTATGGCTAATTGTGTAAGGCAAGAGTCCTCAACCCCTGGGCAGTGAACAGGTACCAGTCATTGGCCTGTTAGAAACTGGGCCGCACAGGAGGAGGTGAGTGGCAGGTGAGTGAAAGGAACTTCGTCTGTATTTGCAGCAGCTCCTCAGTGCTACCTAGCATCACTGCCTCAGCTCCACCTCAGATCATCTCATAGGAACACCAGTTCCTGGTGGCAAAAAGGTTGGGGACCGCTGGTGTAAAGCACTGAAAGCATCTCCTAGTACAGCACTGATAACACGAGTCTAGGATGTTCTCTTGTTCTCACTTAGACAGGGATGAAAGGCTTTAAGCCGCCTCCACTTGAGGTGTGAGGCTGTATCATTTGCAGCTATTCAATTCAGATCAGGCTAAGATAGTCTTCTGGGTGGCAATGAAAAGAGTGAGCCCAGCTCTTGAGAATAATGAAGTTAAGAAATCTAGATACATAAAGATGCTCATTATGCTGGATTCCACTCATATAGTTAAGGGTTTGGTAAAGAAACACATGTGTCTTATTGCAGGGGACCACTGCATATAATACACTCTGTGTAAGGATACAAAGTTTTAAAGACTCTTTAAGGAAATATATTACTCTTTTTGATATTTTAGACATTAAGTCTTCAATATGCATTCCAAATGTAGAAAGTTTAAATAAAATAGTAACCTTCCTCTTCTTGAAAATATGAAAAGATAAGAATACTAGACAGAAGTAATCATTTTTCTAAAAAGTACCTACTATCCTTAGGATATGTTATTGACCTCCTAATGGGAATATGTAAATCTTTACAAAGATTCTACATCTCTTAAAATACCCAGTGTTAGGTCTCTTTGTTCTTGTGACTTCCAAAAGTCTCCCTCCCTGTGTATCACTTTAAATCGGCCTCTGGCTCCAACTTTGTCTATTTCACTAGCTTATCAGAGATAAACATCAAGACGTGTCACGTGAAGAATCAAGAAAATCTCTTAGAAAAAAGTCCATATATCAATTAGCAGAATTCCAATAGGGACATCTTCTTGGCAGAGGTGGACTTTCTCTCATTTCAAGCGATCTATAAATTATCCTCTTTCTTTTATGACCTTGTTAATTTCAACTGAAAACATTCAATGACAGCCAGAGGCAAAGGGCTGGTGGGGTCCCTTCCCCCAAGGATTCTTACTCGCGCTCTCTTTCTCTCTTTCTTTTTTTTTCCTTTAGTTTTGTATCTAGGCTTATTCTTTGACTCCTTGCCCACTATAGAGAGCAAATATATACTCATACTTGAGTAAAGGAATATAAAGCATGATCATATTTCATTTACTTTTTATAGATAACTTTATCATAGTAGCCAGCTGAGAGCCCTGCATGTAATAGGCACTTTTCAACTATTTGTGGAATGAGTGAAAAACATGAGTCATTGGTCTCAGTTCCAAAGTGTTCCTTTCTTTCTCTAGTAAAGACAAAGGTAGTCAATCACAGTTGTTCTTTCAAAGACTAACCTATAGTTCTTATCAGTCAGGCCTAACAAAGAAGCAACCACACCTCTTCTAGGGGGGTGGCAAATGAGCCAACAATATCCCAGAGACATTAAGTATAAATGTGTAAATACACAAATATATAAACAGCTAGCCGCTTGGGGAGTTGGAGCAATTGATTTCAATAATGAAAACGCCACTTGCTTTGAACTGAAATACGTGTTCCTAAACATAAAACACATTCACGTGAACCTGGCCCGCAGGGCTCTGTCCACCAGGGACATGGCACTGTCAGGTTCTTCCAGGAGGGGTTCCAGGTCTCAAGCTGTGATGCATTTCCCTGTGTATCTGAATTTTGGTCACGGTGGAGATTTGAGGTTTGATGGGGCAAAATGACTTACTCCCTTCCTCTACCACTTACATACACATAACAACTGGGAAACATCTAGTTATTTCTTCTTCAATTATCATAAACTTCACTTGTTTGCTGCTTTTAGAGACAACTGATGATTAGTAATTCAACTAAAACATAGTTTTTTTTAAAGAAAACTTCTATCCATTATGGATAAATATGAAAGGTATGTATCTCTCCTCTCCACTCGATTTCAAGTAGGTGTAATGTACCATTCCCTGAGCAATTACAAAAATATCACTCACATGAGAACGTAGTTTGTACTTGATAACATGGTAATTATATCTGTGTCTAGCAAGCTAATGGGACTTCATTAACTACAGTGAGAGAATAAGAACCATCTAGGGCTTCAGTTCGTGTTGCGCCCAGAGGAATCATGCCACTGAAAGTGGCTCTTAGACTACACAAGGTCATATACTATTTCTATTTGGATGGAACTTTGTTGGAACTTATTGTTTCCCCTCTCAGGGAGTACAACTGAGGGGTTTATGGGCTGTGTTAGGGGCACAGCCTACAGAAACCCCAAATCTCAAATCTTACTGCCTTTTTGGAACTTTTCACTTCTTCTGGGCATTAAAATATATGCTGCTGGAGTCCCACACAACTAGACACACACACTTTTCACAGTGTGCATTCCATGCTTCGATATACTTGAGCCCAGTTCACTTACACAGAGACAGCATAATGAAGATTGCTCCCAGTTGGTCATACTCAAAAGACCACCACTGTGGTCCAACAATGATAGGGGCAAGGACTTGTTTATCCTGAATCCATCTCAATAATTTTAGAAATGTCATTTTAAAACAGATTTTGCACATAAGAAAAACAGTATCCATATGAGATGGGGAAGAGAGAGTTCATTTAGACAGAACAATGCTGGATATTTAGTTCTGGGAGCAAGCCATGTTACTTTCTGGCACACTTTAGGACAAGTCATGCCTACATCACAACATGCCTTCACCACAAGATAAAAGGACTCAAAGGCCAAAAGCCAACAGCAGAGGTGCAACCACTGTGGACCTTTGAAGATGCAAAATGTTGCAGTAACTTCTTGCAGTTGGATCATATCAATAATACCAAACTGACAGGAAGCCACCTCTATTTTCACACAACTACTCAAAATATCACAGAAAAAAACTGACTTTGGAAGGAGTTACAGACAAATAAACACACACACACACACACACAAAACACACACTCTCGCACACAATTACAAACACAAACGTGTGACAGTGATTACAATCACAGAGAAAAACAACTTTTGAGAAGATGAACAAGTAAGCATCTCAATAGTATGTTTTCAACAATACTTCCTTAGAGAACACATTATTGAAAAGCTACACCAAAAATATTAACCTAAAAACTTTTTTCAAAAAAAGTTATCGATGAGGATTTGGTCATGCTTCATGCAACATATAACAGCAGCAAAATAGGGTGAGGTCACATGGTGAAAGTTGAGATACTTCGTATTAAGAAATATGCCCAAACACACTAGAAAAAACATAAAGCCATACGTTCATCTCAATAAACAGTACTCGTTCAGTAAATCAAATGTGATGATCTGGCAATTTAGTAGCAGTATCCTAAGTCTGTACTGAGTACTGCCCAATAAATAAAATCTGCAAAATGTTATCAAAATAAGCATAAGGAAAAAAGAGTTAAGTGTAAGGGCTTGGTCTCTGTTTTGTGGATAAAAGGACATAAATTCTGCTCTATAAACTGGAAAGTGGACACAGAGAGGAGGAGGTGACTGGGAATGTGGATGTGGTATATAGACAAATGGCACCACAGAGTCTGGTGGACACCAAGACACATCAGGACAGGACAGAAACAGACACCAAAGGCTGGAGAGAAGCGTCCTCCTTTTCAACTTGAATGGCATTTGTTCCCATCATTGGTGCCATGACTGAAAACAGGATTGTGCCTTTTTTTTTTTTTTTTTTTTTTAGGTTTCCTGCAAAGAAGTTAGTGCGTCATCTGAAAGAATCAACAAATCAAACAAGAAAAGCAATATGCTACTTTCCATTTTTAGGTACTCTAAGTTGGAGAAGAGTTTATATATAAATATACGTATATAAATATATATAAATATATATACACTAGACAAGGGAATGAGATTATATATACATATACGCATATATATAATCTCTATCTTCCTGAATTCTTGGCAAATGGTTAGTCCTGTGGTTAGAAGTGAAGATAGAGGGTGGAGATTGGGAGGAAAGTTAACGAAGAGTGCATACCGCTTTCGGCTTCTGCAAAACGACAAGAAAAGAATTTAAAATCAAACAATTTGATAATAAATTGACTGACACCAGAAAGAAAAGAAGGAATAAAACCTTTGTTTCAAATTATTTGAAGGATGCACGTGAAAACAAAGTTTTTCAGCAAAGCATGGAAACAATATCATGGGGTGAAACAACAAAGGAGGTAGTTCAACACAGGTTGGAGCGAGGGGGTGGGAAGGAGAAGCATGGTTCTCCCAACTGTAATACCCAGTCACTGAGAAAATGTGAGAGGAAAAGAAACGGGGAATTTTTAAGTGAAGAAAAACATCAAAAATCAAAATTGTTATCTAGGGAAGGGTCCAACACTTGATTCTTTTAAACACGGATATTGTGTTTGATAAGTCCTGTGTTTTCTCAGAGGCGTGATCCACATTCCCTCAAACACACCTTTTTCCACAAGAACCAATGAGCTTCCACACTGAGACCAAGCCACATTTGAGGATTAAAGCTGGCAACGGCACACAGAAAGCCAAATCAAAGCCAAAGTTCTTTTTGCCCTTTTACGAAACAAACAAAAACCTCTAACTGTAAATATGGCTTTGTTGAAAACATCTCTGATTTATGAATTAATCGGAGAGTCCATCAAAGAAAAGATTCTGTCTTCAGGGAAAGCTCTGAGTCATTTTTCTTAGAATGGTGACAGCGCATTCACACAAAACCATTAACAGCCCTTCTCTCTCCCTTCTTGTGACCGAAAAATGGCAGGTGAGAGATGACCAGTCAAGGTTCAGGGTGAAGTTTCCTGCCATGAAATTATTCCAGAAGAGTCACTCACATTATGACACTTTTGAGAAATGCACAAAAGTGATAAAGAGAGAACACTGAATTACACAAAGATTTACTGACTTGGCAAGACAAAGAATATCATTTGCAAAAATCCAGGATACACATTTCCCCCTAGACAGGTACAGGAGACTACTGGCAACAACATGGGCAAGCGGCAGTCCCAGAAACATCTGCGTTATCTGTTGTACAGGAAATAGCCAGGATGCTCAGTTTTCGTTTTTGTTTTTTGTAAATAATATTCTTCACTTTGCCAACACAGAAAGGAAAATGCGTATCTACATACATATTTTCTACCTGCTATGGCCATGTTCTACATGTGGCCACCAAATCTACCATTTTTTCTTCCTTCTGGTGGATTTGGATTTTCAAAACAGCTTAACATTTGATCAGATTGTGAGCAATCTGATCTGGTAGTTAAGGTGACAGAGAACATTGGATTGACTTTCTTACAATCCAGTTTTTTTTTTTTTTTTTCACAGATTGCACATTTGGAAGTCTGGCTTTATTGAGTCATTCATCCAGATAATGAAAACTTAAATGATGATAGCAGGAACCTATACTCTGCTCAGTTATTAAGGTGTATGTTGGAGGGTACCTGCACTCTGCACTTGGGCATCTAAGGGAGACTTATTGACTATAGCTAGAAACAAACCATGGATGTCATTTCAGAGGACAAAAGCCTGAGCATTTCTCAGTGAGTTCTCTTCCAAAACGATTAATAAGAATGGGGGGTGGGGGTGGAGAGAGAAAAAATCATCTCTATTTTATCTGTAATACATATACAATTCCATCAACAAAATTCCATATTAACATGAGGATTCCTTTTTCCAGTGTGAACTCATATATTGACTGGGGCGTTATCTATTTCAACCAGACCTAATCTCTCATCAGTCTGATTTGCACATAATTAAGTACAAAATAAATAAATAAAAAGGGTCCCTGCCTCTGAGCCCTGCTCTCCTGGTTAATTTGCATGAAGTTGATATTCTGCCACCTGGATTTCGGTTGCACCGGGAGAAGCGCATATGGTACACAATAGGCTGCTTGTAATTTGGCTATCAAGAGAGCTCATATCTCCCATCATAGCTCTGCCCCAAGCCTGCTGTGAAGGAGGCCAGAGTCCACCTGCTTTGTGCTCATGACAGTAAAAAGGGGTTATAGGACAGTGTCTGTCCCGGTTTTATGCTGAGAGAGTAAAAAGTGTAAGTTGGCATGATCAGATGGAGATTTGAATGTCTCAGCCCTTTCCCCCGAAGAAACACTCTCTGCCCAATGAGACTCAGAATGCCAGGCGGCTCTAGGACAGAAATAGCAGTGTCTGGTTGAGCATGCCTTGAAATGTGTCCTAGGATTAGAGTGGTGCTGCATCAGGGTTGCAAACAAATAAATAATGCCTAAGAAAGAAGTTCCGAGGGTACACTCTCACCATCATGAACGTCAGCCGGACGCTGAGTTGTAGCAAACTTACCGGCTCTCGCGGTTGGCAGACTTGTACTCAATGGCTATCATTAGGAGTTTGAGCTTCACAAAACACAGCCTGCAATAAGATGGAGAAACCTCTCAGTCAGTGCTTCTGAAGAACCAGAGCCACATAACAAACACCGTTATGACCTTTCGATCAACTAATGCAGTCGTTATCCAAGGCACTCTCATTCTACGATCACTGTGCCAAAGAGAGGGGGCTGTGAGCAACACCTTTCCTCTTCCCCATTAAAGCTGATTTCTTGCAAGTGATAAGGCGCTGAATGTTCAAAGTGCAAATTGCACTCAGGTCTGGATGTCTAGACACAGACCCCAAGCAGGAATTTGTGCCTGGGGATTTACGCTGGGCCAGATTCATTAGTTACTCAGTTGGGTAGTAAAATGTTAACTGCAGGGGGAGGGAGGCCTTTGGAGCAGCTGGACCTGTTATTTGGATTCCATTTTGGTCTTTTGTACAAATGGCTCATATTGTTGTTCCGAGCAGACCCCTATGTGCTGGGAATGAGGGTAATAATCTTTAGCTTCTGTGTAACTGCCCAGCACATGATTGCGGCACCGTCACTCCTGGCTCCATCCAGGCTGTCTCTCCTCATCTGCCTGCTGCTCTTGTCCGCAGCCCAGACAGTTTTGAGAATGGCTTGTTCCTGCCTCCGTGCCTTCACTGATGCAGATACTGCCCCCTGGAATGTCCTCTCCTCTCTTCCTGACCCATCCTGACCCAGGCCCACATCAAATCCAACCTCCTAGGGAGGTCTTCTCCAGCTACTGCTGCTCTCTGATTTTCTTTCTATTCTCAGAACTCCTTCAGCACCCTGCCTACAAACTACATCATCTAGCCCTTAGTCAGTCTGGCTGTGGTTGCTACCTATTGTTTCATGTGTCTGAACTTTGTCTCCTCAACCAGCAAAACCTCTTTAAGAGTTCTGGTCTTGTTTGGAACTCCGCATAGTGCTGTACATGGAACCACTGATACAGACAAGCTCAAAAAAAGATTTCCACTTACTGGGGTTCAAGCCTGAGAACATAATAAAAGGTTCAGTAAAATACTTACGCATAAAAATGTTCAAGGTAGTAATATTTATACAAAGTAAAAAATTCGAAGGCAACTTAAATGTCCAGTAATAAGACAATGGTTAAATAAAGTATGGTACAATAATGGTATATGTTAGCATTCAAAATGACACTTTGAAGAATGTTTCAAAGTATAAGATCAACAAATACTCTTATATAGATATAAATATGTAAATGCATGATACGATTAGGTAAAAATATATATTTATATGCTCAGAAATAAAAGTTCACATAAACAAAAAAATATATACATTATAATTGTGTTTTTATAATGGGCATTATCATTTATGTCCTAAAGACTTCCTGATAGATTGAGAAGTGAGTTAATGGTTATTAGGTCCTGCATCAGAAGGGTAAGGGTGTGCTGGGTCACAGGTCGGGGCCTTTTTGGTGCTTTCATTTAATCCTCACAGTATCCCTAAGAGAAAGATATTACCCCGGTTATTAAGGCTTCTATTGATCTCTCTCTTTTACGGGTGATGAAACTAAGGCTCAGAAAGGCCATGTAACTTGCCAAGGTCTCAGGTGATATTTGGCAGAATATATATCTTCACCCCTAATGAAGTCTATTTTGTATTGAGAGAGATAGGCAATAAGCAAATGAATAAGTGAATAAATAATAAATTTCAAGATGAGGACAAGTATTATAAAGAAAATAAAACACCTAAGAGGATAAAGAGTAACTGGGAAGGTTTGTCATCTGCAGTGTTCCAGGAGGACCATTCCGAGCAAGTGACGCTAAAGCACAGAGCATCGGAGTGTCATGAGAAGAAGCAGGCAATCAGAGGAATTGGGGAAAGAACATTCTATAGGAGTAGAGATAGGGCACATGCAAGGGCCCTGAGGCAGAAAGATACGAGGGGTGTTTAAGGACCGGCAATAAGACCATCAAGGCTACGGTTGAATGAGCAAAGTCAATTATGATAATGATCGGTTGAGGAGCTAGGTGGGAGCAAGATCACGAAGACTTTGCTGGCCACAGCAAGGAGTCTGTAGCTTATTCCAAGTGGAATGGGAAGCTTTGGGTTGGTTTAAAATAGCAAGGTGCCCTAATCAGATGTGTTAGACTTGTGAGTGTGTTGCTTACAGGTAAAATGCTGATGAAGGCTTCATGCTCTCTGGAGGGCATAAGACCAATTGCTGCCTGTGAGGTCATGGTCACCCATATTGCTTTCAACAGTCAGATTTCAAAGGACCACTTCCATCCAGGCATATTTGGGATTTCCCGATGATTTGCAGGTTTTCTGATTCCTGCCAGCAGACTCTAATGGCCTGGGCTTTGTGCTGATTATGCAGTCTGCTGAAACACCAACCCATGTATCCAACTACAGCTGGAAAAATGCTCTTCTTAATTTATGTCCCAATGAGCACGGCTAACACGCACCCTTTATGGGGCTATTACTTCTGGGGCTTAACTTGTTTAAAATATCGGATGGTTTATGCAATATTTGTTGAACCAAATTACTAAGATTAAGTAACTACTTTTTAATGTAAATAACAGCTAAATGCCAAAAATTCAAGGAGAAGTCTATTCTTAACTTAGTACAAATCATGAAGAGGACAATTTACTGATATCCCATGAGCAATGGCCACTTCAATGTGTGACTCTGGTAGTTCATGCGATCAAGGATCTTAACTGCTTTAACGACTTGATCCTACTAGTGAGAAGGGAAGAAACAGTTCATAGTAATAATGAATTATGTCTTGCTAGCTACTACCATACCATTTACCAACTAGATATGAAAAGAAAGAAGCTTTCCAAGGCAGGAAAGTCAATAAAATCTACGTCGCCTTGTGCACATTCATAACCTAGCAGGGGGTGTACCAGCAGGGGGTGTACCAGCAGATCTTTGAGTCCTCTTTCATAACTTTCAAATCTCTATCTAAGATGATTCTATACTGCTTTATAGAAGCCTCTTTTTAAGAAGCTCTTTGACCCAAAACGAGCCTTTCCTCACTGGCCAAAGGGACAAAGGTATGGGTCGGGGGACAGAGTGATGTATACAAAGTGATTATATACAAACAGTGACACAACCACAGATTTTTCAGACTTAGGCCCTTTAAGATTGGCTTATTCTGCCCTTCTCATACAGATGGCGAACTGAAGTCCAAAGATGGGAAAGTGACTTGCTCAAGGTCAAATGGCCTTTACGTAGAAAAGCCAAAAGTGGAAATCAAGCAATTTGTTCAAGGTTCAACATTTATGTAGAGATGTCAAAAGAGGAACTCAAGTCTCAAGGCAGAGTGCTGCACAGATGTTTCTCATAAAAGTGGAGGAAATGAAGTGGTGGCCAGAAGCCCAATATGCACACATGTTCTGTTTGGTCAGCATAGTGTTTTTAAAAAACTGGAATTAGATGCCAACAGGTGATTTTATATAAAAACTAACCTTTTAGCTTTCCTCAATTAATCAGATATGGCCACACTGCAGCTACGTTTTGTATGGCTAACAGGGATCAGAGCTTTGAAGCACTTGCCCCTCTGGATGGAACACGTGCGCACCAGTGTACCACAGTCCCCACCACTCCCTACTATCTCGGACCACCTCACTCTCCTCCTACGGGCATCTAAGCTTTCAATTCCTGCTCTAAGAGCATGTCATGTCTGGATGTTTGCAAAATAACAATCTTGAGTAATTTACAATTTATACTGGAAACAGAACTGTCTCCCCTTGTTAAAATCACAGTTTTCTATTAGATTCTGCCACAGAGAATTGGCCAATGTCAGGGTACTGGGCTTAAGGCTGCAGCAGAGGTGCCACCTTTGTTGGGGGTCCAGTGGGGAAGAGCAAATCAAGGAGAATAAACAGGGGAGTGGGTGTGGTATGGTGCGGTAATCGTTTATTTACTCATCTCTCTTCCCTCTAGACTGTGAGCTTCTTTAGTGCAAGATGCATGCTTTGTCTCCCTGGCATTTTGCAAAGTGCAAAGCATAAGCTTCCAATAAATGCTAATTACATAAAGATATGATAGAATGGGGAGCGGAAACTCACGAGTTGCTGGAATAATACAGAAGAGGTAAAGTGGCAAACTAGAAAAGTCTAGTTTAGGCAGAGAAGGCTTGGAAGTGATAATAGAATCATGAAACAAGATGCTTCTTAACTTGTCTCATTTGGTAGAAGCAGACAGATTGGGGGGAAAGGGGTGTAGAAGGAAATAACAGCAGCGATGCGCTCTGGGAATCTAATTTTTGCCTTTAATCCACTATGCCACGATGTAAGTACAAGTCTAAAATTCAGACAGCAAGTTTTCCTCGGGACCCTCTACAAATCCTGTGACAAGTTGTTCACCCCCAAGAATGTGCCTTCAGACTACCCAAAATTGATGTCCTGAGATTAAACATTTACCTGCATTATTCAACACCATTTTTTTTTCTTTTGGTAAAGCAAAATGGGCTTTGCTCATCCAATCCTTATAGTAGTTCTGTAGTTTTACTCAGTCTATAGTGTTTAAATGTCTACAGGACTGTGGTGGGGTGAGAAAGGAGGCCTAGGGTAAGGCAGGGTATAAGAAAGAAGCAAGAAAGCTTTCACAGTGTGATAAACAGAATGAAATCAGCCATAAGTTAGCAAGAATTTAATTTTCGGTTTCTAAAATAAAATGTCCCAATATGTCCAATGCAGGAAGTTGTTGCTGGCTGCAAAAATAATTACAGGGGAATAGAAATGATTTCTTTTTTATTTTCAAGAAAAAAAAAATGCCACTTGTCACAAAAAGGTCTTAAACCAGCAATCTGCAATAAAACTGTTGTAATAACAAGTAAGATTGCTTTCTCGATAATTATTAAGTAGAAGTCTACCAAATTTGACAACGACATTATACAAAGCCTTTTTTTTTTTAAACTGCCAGCATCATCTGTTAACTATAGTAGTTTCAACCCAGATGTTCCTGAGCAAAGGCTCTTAAGAATTAGAGTCCAACTGTTTCTACCTACCCAGAAGGAAATAAATTGTTCTTGCCATTAAATCAGCCCCTTTGACTAGCA